GCACCACTGCACTCCAGCCTGGGCGACAGAGTGAGACTCTGTCTAAATGAATGAATGAATATTTAAGTAAGAAGACTTTTTTTTTTTTTTTTGAGACAGAGTCTCGCTCTGTCACCCAGGCTGGAGTGCAGTGGCACGATCTTGGCTCACTGCAAGCTATGCCTCCCAAGTTCATGCCATTCTCCTGCCTCAGCCTCCCGAGTAGCTGGGACTACAGATGCCCGTCACCACGCCCGGCTAATTTCTTGTATTTTTAGTACAGACAGGGTTTCACCATGTTAACCAGGATGGTCTCGATATCCTGACCTCATGATCCTCCCGCCTCAGCCTCCCAAAGTGCTGGGATTGCAGGCGTGAGCCACCACGTCCGGCCATAAGAAGACTTTTAATGAGAGCTCAATTTGGAAATAAACCAAATTTCCATCAGCAGGAGAATGGATAAACATTGTGGGATATCCACATAAATCCTAGTGAGTTATACTAAACAAAGAACTACAGACACATCAACAGGGATGACTGGCAAACGCAAAACATGTTGAGTGAGAGAAGCTGGACACAATGAGTGAAAAAGTCAACAAATTGTAAGTCAAAAAAATGTTTGAAAAAGTCAACAAATTGTAAGTCAAAAAAATGTTTAAGCGGTTCAATGTAACAATTTTTTCACTGTATCATTCCATTTGTATGAAACTCTGGAAAAGACAAATCCACTGTGGATGAAAGCTGATCAGTAGTCACCTGGGGCCAGGAGTGGGGAAACTGACTGGGATGGAACACAAGATAACGTTTGGGGTGATGGAAATGTTCCATATTGTGATTGTGGTGGTAGTTACACATGTATATAAATCAGAATTCATTGAACTGTACACTTACTCTCTTGTACACTTACTGTGCACTTGGAGTGAATGTGTGCTATTGTAAATAAATGGTACGTCCATGAAATTGACAAGAGGAACCACCAGAATGGTAGAAATAGGATGCATAACATTCAAACCAGCAGACGGGGGAAGGAAGAAATCAAACCAGAAAGCAGGAAAAGGGAGGAGGAAGACAAAGCATGGCAAACAGAAAACAAGTGTGTCTCAAGACGCAGGACTTGCTTTGAAACCCAGTGATGGTAAAATAAACGGAGAGGTTGGGGTGCAGAGTGAAAGGAGACCTGGGGCATGGCACAGTGTTTTCTGGTACCCAAGATGGAACTGAAAATCTACAGGCCCTTAGAGGCCTTGAGGCGCCTCCAGGAAATGCTGGCAGTGTTCAGGGACCCGAAGAGAGGGCGGGAGGACAAGGATGGCAGAAGGGCTGAGGCCAGAGGGAAGAAGGAAAAGCAAGAAGGGGCTTCAATGGTACCAACCCGAACTAGACGAAGCACAAGCAAGGGCCACCTGGACCCTCCTGTGGAAGCCTCAGCCGCCATGGTCCAGAGGAGCCCAGTGGGGGTGGTGGGATGAGAAAGACGCCCTGCAGTAGACCAAGCAGAGCTGGGCCAGGCGTCAGTCATTTAAAGCTCCCCAGGTGAATTCAATGTGCAGCCCAGGTGAGATCCACCACTCTGGGGTCAAAGGATAAAGAGCCACGAGGACTTGTGAACGCCAGCAAATCAGTCAGAGCCTCTCTCAAGAGCACCTGCCTGCCTCTCCCCACCCGGGTGGCTCCACTCTGGGTAGCTCCCCATCCCTTCTCTTCCGTACTCATATTTTCCTCCCCTTTGTCTATTCCTCTTTCCCCAGCCTCGCCTCCTTTTACCACTTACTTTGCCAAAGCTCCCCACCTAGTGTTGGTAGACTTTTCAAACTGTGGCCTTTATTACATGTTTATACAGATAGTCCCCAACTGAATGGTTTGACTCACAATTTTTTTACTTTCCAATGGGTTTATTGGGATGTAACCCCATTGTAAGTCGAGAAGCAACTGTGCATCTTTTTCAAAACCAAGACCTAAATCTTACTAAAGTAACTGGCTTTTTAACATAGTGACTCATTCACTGCTTAGTATTTCCTGTGCCTCAGCTTTCCTAATAGGAAAAAAAATCATTCCCCAGCCCCGACTTCTAGTGGTAAATAGCCTCCCTAACTCACCCAGGACAGCCCCCTACAGACCACTGTCCTGCATGGAGAAAATTCCAGGACTCCTCTGTTGGGTGTCCCTGTGGAGTTTTACAGGACAGAGGTGCTAGGGAAAAATAGATTCCTGCAGGGTTATGCAGAGTGCCCTGCTTTCTGCTCTGCAAGAATGGTTCCATCTGAAATGAAGGACATTTCATTCAAACCCTCAGCTGATTACCACCACCAACGGAGCAATGTTAGCTGCATGGCCTGGGCTCGGAGAAGGCGGGGGTTACCCATGCCCACCAGCCACCTGCCAGTACCTGAGGCCCCTCTCCCAGTGCTGTACCATCCAAGGAATGGAAAGGATACTTGCTTATTTTTTTTCTGCAGGAGATTCTTGTGAATGCCCAGAGATGCATTGAAGCAGCCAGGGGGCCTGACATTTGAACCAGCCTCTGTCCTCATACTCAGTTGAGGCTGTGGTCCCAGGGCTGCTAGGTCACACAACTCCAAGGCACATCATCGGTTCATGTGAACAGCATCCCCTGAAGCTGTGCAGTGCACAACCTGTGCAGCCATATGTGACAGGCTTGTGGCCCCCTCTTTCTCTCATAAGGGGCTCTGACAAGTTGATGAATGATGCCCTTGCTCCTGTGTTTCTACCCACATTCAAGGGAAACCATTCTTGTTCTTCCGGACAAATCCCTCCAACTCTGTCACCTTCAGGACCTTGAAGCTTATTTCCAGCCATCTTAGACAAGGGTTGGCAATGAGGTAAAGACTCAGATACCACCTAACTGAGAAGTAACCCTGGCCGAGCAGTGGATGAAATGGGTACCCAGACACAGGTATGCAGTGTAAGCAGCCAGGGGACTGCCCGGCTCAAGTGGCCAAAGTGCAGCCCCGAGAAGCTGGAACTGCTTGCCTTTATTCAGTGCAGGCACAATGCCAAAAGCCTGGAGCAAACACTGGAGGTAATTAACATTTATTGTTCCCCTTTCAGGGAACGTCATGTGCGCAGATGATCAAAGGTCAGTTCTTGGTCAACATAGGTAAACAAGCCTGTTTAAGATAAATTCCCCCACACTCCCTTGTACCTACTCCTTGCCCTCTGCTCAGGGTTATAGAACAGCTGCCTTCAGCTATTCTCCCCCGGGGCTCTGCAGGAGCTTCCAACCTTTCAGAAGGCCTGCTCCCTTCCCTGTAGTTTCTCCCACCACTCTGACCAATCTGCTACACTTGTGGCCCCCTTTTTCTTGCCTTGCCTCATGAAGGGCTCTGACAAAGTTGATGAATGATGTCCCTGCTCCTGTGTTTCTACCCAGCTTCAACGGAAACCATGCTTGTTCTTCTGGACAAATCCCTCCAACTTTGTCACCTTCAGGACCTTGAAGCTTATTTCCAGCCATCTTAGACAAGGGTTGGGAATGAGGTAAAGACTCAGATCCCTCCTGAGGAGCAGGCATCAAACTGGCCGGGTTATCTTCAGCCCCTCCCCTGGCTTCTCACCCTGCATGGCTCCCAGTCAGTCTTGATGGAGCCTCCCCATCCCTGGCTGAGATCCTCCCTGCACCTCTGGCCAATATCTGGGCCACAGCACCAGTCCAGCCTCCAGCTCCCTGCCCTCGATCTTGTCCCAGTGTCCTCCCAAACCTGATCTGAGCACAAGTGGCATTGTCTACACTTCTGTGTGAGAAGGTCCCCGCCTACTCTGCACAAGCCTTACTGGCCTTGGGGGACAGTCACTGGCCTCTACAACCCTGGGGCTGGTGATCACACAGCTGAAGCAGAGACCCTGATGTAAGCAACTTTTCATGTGTGTGTGTGCCTTTTTCTTGGGAGAGGGTCTGTGGTTTACATCAGCTCTTCAAAAAGTCCAAATGGGTTAAGAATCATGAAAGCACTGCATGCTTTTTTGTGGTTGGTGGGTGATGATCCATCTCTTAGAATGTAGGTTCCCATTCATTTATCAAGTATTTATTGAGCACCTACCATGTATCAGCTGCTGCTCTAGGCACTGAGGATACAGCAGTGAACAAAACAGATGGTAGAATGACTTTCTAGGAGCCAGAGACAGCCTGAGGCTCTAATGGGCACTGAAGAAACACTGCAGATTCTAAGTTGTGAACACTGTGCGGTTCTAAGCTGGGAACCTATGAAGGTTTTACTAACAAGTTATTGATGACAGCAGGCACAGCAGTGTTGATGACGATGGCCACAGCAGGAGCCAGATAAACTCCCAGATAAACCTCTCACTGCTGAACCAAGAGGAGGAGCCGTGCCCTGTGACAGGCAGCCATGGTGAGGAGGCAGAGGAGAACTGAGATGCCCCCACCCCATGCCAGCCCAAATAACTGGCTCCCCCAGCCCTCGCAACTCATGCCAGCTGGAGGGCTGCAGGTCCCAGCCAGGCCAAGACACAGGCTGGGCTCCAGTCCCCCTTCCCCCATCTGGGAGCCAGAACTACAGTCTTCTTCCCAGACTCAGGACAGGTAAGGCTTCCCAGCACAGGTGTCCCTGACAGCGTGTCTGTGTAAGAGAGCGAGGAGCGAGAGCACAGCCAAGTGGGAGCCCCGGCACAGGGGGCAGAAGGAACAAAGGCTCAAGCGCTGCTGCAGGGTCCTGGGCGGCTCAGCACCAGGGGCATACGCTGCAGAGGCCGTGGCCAGAATGGATCTCCTCTTCACCAATCTGAGGGCTGTCCGCACTAGAGAGGTCCTAGATATTTGGAGAGCCCCTGGTGGGTCAGGGGAAATGGAGAAGAGGGAGAGTGAGAAACAAAACTTGCCAAGACCCATTGGATGCATCTGGGAAAGAGGCAAGAGCCCAGGCGAGGCTCCCTCTGCACTGCCCATGCCACCAACCTACCCCAGGAACTTGCACCACCCCCCTGCCCCGCATACAGGTGCACATCCTCTCCCCCTTATGAACAGATGCCCCTTCTAGACACACTCATTGAGCTACTAGGAATGGTGAGAGTATATTTGCATGACGTGGCCACTACACACATGACCAGAGACTGTGGCCCAGGCTCGAAGAGTGAAGCCTGGGTAATTGGCAGGGAGACATGTGCAGATCTCCCACCTGGAGCAGCCAGAATGGGCCATCACCCCACAGGCTTTAGGTCTCTGGGAAGACAAGGGTGATCTGGGAGGAGGCACGAGGAGGCCAGAAGGCAGAAGGAGGGTTAGGATGATGGAGTCAGCAACATAGGCTGGCCACCCCCACTTGGCCCCTCGTTGTTCTTGATAGCAGTGCATCCAGGAGCTCAAGGTGGGGTTGGGGCTTGGGCCGCTCTGCGGGAAGTGTGGGTGGGTGCATCTCTGCTTTCCGTCTCAGTGTAAGGAGGACAGCTGGCTTCTCGATGCCCTCAGCCCCTGTTCCGTGTGGGTCTGAGAACCTGGGCCCTGTGAGGTGCTTCTGTGTCTGGGGTGGGCCCTGTGGCTCACCTGATTCTCTCCACACCCGGCTGTGAGATGAGTGCTGCTGTCTTCTGCCCTACATCCCCAAGAGCCCCTGGAGAGATCTACTGCCCATCTTCTCCAAAAAACACACAAGGAGAGCCCTGCCCCAAGTCCAAGCTGCAATTCTGCAAGAGCTTTCCGGGGCCTGGGGCACCTTGAGGCAGGTCCTGGAGAGAAGGGAAGCAGACCCCGCACAGCATCTCCATCGCTCCTCCCTCCATGAGCCCTGGCCACGAACAGGGTGTCTCCTCTCTGTCACAGTCCTCCGCCTCCTGCCTTGGTCAGTCCCCAGCCCTCTCCCGAGCCTGGTGCCGGTCCAGAGCCAGCTGGAGGGCACACTTCAAGGTCTCCACATTGTTCAGAATATTGTATCGACTCAGGGCCACCAGCCGATCAAAGTCCTGGGGCTCATAGGTGAAGTTCATCATGCCATAGGGGGTGTCTGGCCTGTTGATGACAAAGTCCCCAAAGGCCTTCTCCTCAGCTGTTTGTCGCTCCACACCTGTGGGTGGGGGAAGCAGAGAAGCCAGGCTGGAGCCCTCTGTGGAACTGGTTGGTACAGCCCAGAAATCTTCCTTGTGCAGGACACCTGACTGGCTCCATTCGGGCCCTGCTTGGGCCACATCTCAGCTCTCAAAGCCACCAGGAGGGGCTGGCCCCATGTGAACACTGAGACCCAGGGAGCAGAGGGCCAGCTCAGGCCTACCAGGAGGCGCGCTTAGCAACATTCTCCAGGGAACCCACCCTCAGAACAGCATCCCGTCACCATCGCAGGGCTCTGTGGGTCAGTCCCAGGCCTGGAGCTTCCCTAACCTGGGGCCAGGTGTGTGCGGAAGGTACGGTTGACAAGGGGGAAGTGCAGCACGACGGGGGAGCGGGGGTCCTCAGCCTTGGCAAACAGATAGCACTCACGGGCCTCCTCCATGTCTTCAGGGCCCACCTCGATGCTAGGGAAGGGGATTCCTCGGTCCAGGCAGTACTTCTCTGTCATCTTCAAGACCTTAGCAGGAGCAAACCTCTGACTCTGCCTCTCCTCCACCCTGGCCACTCCCCGCCGCCCTGGACTCACACACACCCAGACTTCAATGCCAGCTCTGTTTCTGACTAGCTGAGTGACTTCAGGCAGGTGACAGCTCCTTTCTGAGCTGGTTTCTCATGTGTAAAATAAAAAATGTTTAAACTCCAGGCTGGGCATGGTGGCTCATGCCTGTAATCCCAGCACTTTGGGAGGCCGAGGCTGGCGGATCATGAGGTCAAGAGATCAAGACCACCCTGGCCAACACAGTGAAACCCTGTCTCTACTAAAAATACAAAAATTAGCTGGGCGTGGTGGTGTGTGCCTATAGTCCCAGCTATTCGGGAGGCTGGGGCAGGAGAATCATTTGAACCTAGGAGGCAGAGGTTGCAGTGAGCCAAGATCACACCACTGCACTCCAGCCTGGTGACAGAGCAAGACTTCGTCTCAAAAAAAAAAACACAAAAGCTCCCCTATCCAGTGGGGTTGTGAAGATTAACAATAATCAGTAATGATCAACAACCAATCATCCACTGCCGCAACAGCATTCCTCCCCAGAAGCACTGTGTGGTCTTCCCTTCTGTCACCCCATCTGCTCCCTATCAGAGGCCGATGTCAGTTTCACAAGGTTGACACGTGACAATCACAGAAGGTCCGTGTCAGACGAGGCTTTGTCAATCCCCAGTCAATCGCAGGCTCTCACTGGACCCAGGACAAGGAGGAGACCAAAGAAGGAAGGGCTGCTCCAGCAGCACCACCAGCACCCCCGCGGGAATGGGGGCCTCCGTCCACCACCCAGCAGAGTTGGAGGGACTTGCTGCAGGGCTTCAGCATCAGAGGGGACCCTCATGGCTCTGTTGTTACCATGGTAACAAAGGGGCCACAGACTCGGGTCCAAGCTGGAGTGGGGAACTCTGTCATGAACGGGCAGAGTCTAGAACTAGGGGGTCTCCTGTGGATGAGGTTAGAAGATTCCTGGGGACCCGCTTTGGCCTCCTCTTCCCACGCCCACCACCATCTCAGCAATTCTCCTGCAACTGGGAGACCTGTGCTGCCAACAGCATTCAGAAGGCAGCCCCTTCACACACAGAGTAGAACCCAGGCCGCCCACAAAGGGCAACCCCCACACACCCAGCCAGTCTCCCTCACCAGAGCCTTCTCTCCCCTCCTCTCCTCCCTCACCCTCTCTGTCCACTCACTGAAGGTGCTCCCCACATCCCTGCCCCCAGCTCACCTCAAAAGGAGCTTCCAAGGAATAGTCGAAGGACAGAATGAGGTCCACGGCTCTCTGAGGCCGCAGAGCCAGTGGGAACGGAGAGTTGATGGCGAAGCCTCCGTCCACCAGGTACAGGCAGTCCCGCATGGGGGTGAGATGGTTGGGGGAGGCGTCTGGGTGTCTGTCTGCAAGGAACCCATGTGTATGCACGGGGACAAATGCAGTTGCTCTTGCTAGCAACCCCTTCTGTATTTGCATTCACACTTGCCTTCTCTCTGTAGAGTTCTCTGACAGCCACGGAGTCTCCCACCCCAAGCCCTCGGCCCCGCCTTCCAACTTCCAGCAGTACTTAGAGTCGCTCCGCATCAGCCCATAGGCAGCAGGAGACCACACCTCAACCCCCAGCCCAAAGCCAGCACTGGCCCCAGTGAACCAGAGGCGCAGGCAGGAAGGGAAGCCCCCATCTCCCACCCAGGGCAGCACTCACCTTTCCAGGCCACAAACTCTCTGTCAGCCACATAGTCCTTGTGCAAGCAGAGACCCCGGGTGAAGTTAAAAATCTGGGCAGAAGTGAAGCGGGAGGTGAATATGCCCAGCACAGCCTGGGAGAAGGGCCCCTGTGGGGTAAGGATCCTTGTTGGCAGCGTCGATGGGTTGTGTGGCTGAGGCTTCTGGCAGTCATCTAGACAGGGGTGGGACAGCGAACTAGAGGGAGAAGTGGCATCCTCCTTTGCCCAGTGGTTCTTATAGTTCAGGGGTGCCCTTCCTCAACACTGAGCCCTCCCCACATCCCTCCTCCTCCCTGACCCCACCTCCCAGGCCTCTGACCGATGCTTCATCGAACCACTTTGAAACGACTTTTTCTTTTGTATCTTCTATGTTTTGTAAACTGCCTATAACATTGTATTTACTAAATAATAATTTATCTTCTACCCTCTCGAAAATAAAGTTTGAGTCTACAGCTTCCAATCAGAACTTCGTCCATTAAACAGTGACTGAGCAGTTATTATGCCCAGCACTGCACCAGGCACGAGGGCTGCGAAGGTGAACGGGGCCTGCGCTGGCCCTCCCAAGTGCACGGCCTACTTGTGGGGAAAGTCACATAAAGAGAGAATAGATGATGACAAAGCCCCGGGGTAAGGATGGCAAGGATGTGCACATGGTTCTAGGGGACCATGGTGGTAAGATTGTCAGGCAGGCCGGGTGCGGTGGCTCACGCCTGTAATCCCAGCACTTTGGGAGGCCGAGACGGGAGGATCACGAGGTCAGGAGATTGAGACCATCCCAGCTAACACGGTGAAACCCCGTCTCTACTAAAATACAAAAAACAAAATTAGCCTGGCGTGGTGGCGGGCGCCTGTAGTCCCAGCTACCTGGAGGCTGAGGCAGGAGAATGGCGTGAACCTGGAGGCGGAGCTTGCAGTGAGCTGAGATGATGCCACTGCACTCCAGCCTGGGCGACAGACAGAGCGAGACTCCGTCTCAAAAAAAAAAAAAAAAAAAAAAAAAAAAAAAAAAAAAAAAAGATTCTCAGGCATTGTGGAGGGCTGGAGTGGAAAAGGGATGTCTGACAAAATGACATCTGAGCTGAACTGAAGAACAGAGGAAAAGTGATCCAGGGGAGAAAGGCGGGAAAGGTGCTCTGCACCGTGGGGCTCCCATGAGCCATTTAAGGACCAGACTGAAGAGGAGCCACTGAAGAGGGGTGGACAGAGTATCAACCCGATACCCAGCAGTCCTGCACCGAGTGGACCTAATCGGATCCCAGAACAGAGAACTCAAAGGTGTGACTTGATCACACCTCTGGACATCTAGAGACCCTAAGCTAGAGGTCATTTCCTCAGGACTTCCCTGAATCCAGTGGGACAGCCAAGTCCTTCTCTGTCCCCTCCCTCATTCTTTGTGTCTCTACCAGGGCCCCGTTGCTGGAATGTGGTGTGGGAGGGGCTCGGGGTCACTACCCTCACCTGTGATATTCACACTGCCTCTGTACCACTCCAGGAAGCTGAGGCCCGAGCCCACAGTCTTTAGGGAGATCTCTTCCAGGCTGGTGGCAAAGGCACTGCCCCACACACCTAAGGAGACAGGCAGGGCCCCACCCCATGTCAGTCAGGGCCTGGCCCCGGCACCTGCCTGTCCCCAGCCCTCCAGCCTCGACTCACCTTGCAGGTAGCAGATCCGGGGCTCGGGCTGGAGCTGCAGCAATCGTCCCATGAAAAGCTCTGAGCCAAAGAGCTCGGTGGGAACATAAGCCCCGTACTTGGGCAAGCCAACCTCGTAGGGCGTGAACTCGCACCACTCTAGGGGCCCGAGTAAAGGGAAAGTCACCAGGGGCTTCCCACCACAGTGCTTGTGCCCAAGCAGGAATCTTAGCTTTGCCAACGACAGGAAGCAGCAGCCCGGCTGTGCTCCAAGGTGCCTGTGTACAACCACCTCCTCTGGGCACCCTGATCACCCCATTCTCTCACCCCCTCCTCCCCACCTCCTCTACCTCCTTCCTTCATCACCACACCCAGGCACCTGCAAAATCTTCCCCACTCATGTCGGAGCAGACGTTGATACTGGTGTAAATGGGGTAAGGGTTCTGACCCTGGCGGACCGCCTCCTGTTGGTCAGACAGCTTGGCAGGGTTCTCCTGGGCAGGAAAGAAGGGAGGCAGCTCGGCCTCTCGGGAGTTCCATTCCCCATCCCTGTGGCCTGGGGCCAGCGCCCTGCAGGGTGTGGCATGCCCACAAGAGAGGCTTTGGGTCATCAAGGCCAGTGCCCTAAGGACAGCTCTCTGAGGGACAGGTTTCAGGCCACAGCCAAGGGGAGCCCAGTGTGGGTCTGTATAATTCCAGGGACTATAGGAACACCCTCCCTCCTTCTTTACTATTCAAAACAGCGTATCAGAACACCAGGAAGTCAGGGTGATGTTGCTAAAGGAATCCTTGAAAAGCCAGTCCAATTTCTTTAAAAAATAAATTACTAAGAAATGTAGATTATTTACTGAGAAATGAGAAATCACTTGTGATATCCATCCACACCTGATCGCCACACACGGGGTGGTGGGGAGCAGCTCCGCATCTTATTGCCTGGAACTGCAACTGGGTCTGAAGTGCCAGGAGCAGCCAGGCGGAGTGAGTTACGGCCGAATTGGCCGGGGAGTGGGTGTGGTGCTGGGCCTCACATCCAGGTGTGGGCTGAAATCTCTTTCAAAAAATCCTGAGACCAACTAAAATTAGTATCTCTGGAAGGGGGGCCCAGGCATGGGTGTGTTTGCAAAGCTGTGCCGGTGATCTAATATGCAGCCAGAGCTGAGCGCTGTGGACCAGCCTCCTACTCCCCAGGGGTTAGGAGCTAGAGAGGCAAAGTGGTGCCAGCCCACCCTGGAGTCTTACTCCTGACCCCAGGGGAGCTGAGACCTCAAAACAGCTTTGTATATCAGATCTGAGCCTGAGGGATGAGGCAGAAGCAAGGGCGGGTGGAAGGAGTGGAGAGGAGCCTGTGTGTTTCCTTCTGGCTCTTCTCTCACCTCCTGGTACAGGAAATACTCCACAAAGAGGCCCCAGAGGTCGACCGGGGACACGCTGTGGCCACTGCGCTTCCGGACCCCCAGTTCCTGAGCGTAGTACTGTAGCCGCTCCGTGGACAAAGCTCCCATCTTACTGCTGCAGACGTGAACCTGGGCACGCTCAATGGGGCCCTGCAAGGCCACCTGGGACCAGGCTGGGTCCCTGTAGAGTGTGGAGATGCACCTGCGGATGGGGGGTGTGCCTGAGTCAGGGGCAGGAGAGCACGGCCACGGGAGAGAGGGGTGCAGAGTCTATGAGTGGCCCTCCACCCCCGTTACTTGCCCCTGCTGCCCTGCAAGCAACCCCACTCAAAGGGGCGCTTGGGACTCAGCCTCTTCCTGCCCCTCCTAATCCCCTTGGAGGCAGGATCCCAGCCCCTCAGGGACTCCTTCAGATCACCAGGTCACAACCCCACCCTCTGTGGGGTCTCCTTTACCCTGTGCCCTGCCCCCACCTCACTTACCAGGTGGACCCAGAGACCCCACTCAGGTAGGTCACAGTGTCTAGCAGGCCGAGCTCCTGCAACCCTGCCAGGCTGCCGTACAGAGAGGACATGGCTCGGGTTCCACCCCCGGAACCCAACACAGCCACTACAGGAACCTGGGTACAACAGTAACAAGGAAAACGACTCCGACTACCACCGTCATTTACATATTACATGTAATGCCTATACATGTCGGACATTATTCTAAGAGCCTTACACGTATTATCTCATTGAATCCTCACAGCAGCCCAGTGAGAACCCCATTTCCAGATGAGGAAACTGAGGCAGGGGGTGGTTAAATAATGTGCCCACGATCATACAGTTATTAAGTGACGAGCTCTTACACCTAAGCAGTATGGCTCCAGAGATAGCCCTTCACCATTCGACCTGGAAGATATAGACCTGGAAGGTACATCTGATTCCCCAAAATCAGCTACGGCAGGTTCCTCTCAACCGTGGCACTCTTGATATTCCTGACCAGGTAGCTGTTTGCTGCTGGGGACTGTCCTGTGTGTGGTAGGATGTTTAGCAGCATTTCTGGCCGCCTCTACCCGGTAGAAGCCAGCAGCCTCGCTCCACCTCCCCTTTCCCCAGCAGCAACAACGAAATCCATCTCTACACATGGACAAATGTCCCCCGGGGTGCGGTGGGGAGGAACTCAATTGTGCCCCGCTGAGCACCACTGAGCTAAAGTGACAAAGGCCAGCAAGCAGTCTAGACCTGCCCCCAGACGCCAAAGGGGCCCCGAGGTTTTAAGGTCTCCTCAGGGTCGGAGGTGCCTGAGCGGTCAGAGTCGATACTTTTGGCTGCTTAGCTTTCCCACTAAGACTTGGCTCATTCCACTCTGGATTTTTGGCTCTTTTCCCTATTCTCTTTTCTTCCCTTGTCTTGAAAAAAATGTTCCCTGGCCACTGCTCACGGAAGGCGCTGTTGCTTCAGAGTGCTGGGTGAGACAGAGCAGACGCCTAGCACAGAGCGGGCACACATACTGCCCGAATGAACGAGCGCTGGGCCACAGTGGCAGCGTCTCCTGGGGACTCAGGCAGCCAGGAGGAAGCCGGCAGCCTGTTCCTGATCCCCAGTAAGTCCCTCTCTCAGCACTCCTTTCCTCCTGCCTCCCAACCACAGGCTGGCTGTCTCTAAACCCAGAGGATCCCAGGGACCCCCAAGCTCCACATCCCTTTGATCATGTTACAGACTCAGTTGTGCCCCTCCAAATTCCTGTGTTGGAGCCCTAACCCCCAATGTGACAGTATTTGGAAATAGGGCCTACAAGGAGGTGATAAAGGTGAAGTGGGTAAGGGCCTTCAACTGACAGGACTGGGGTCCTTAGAAGAGGAGGAAGAGACCCCAAGGCGTACGCTCTGCACACACACACAGAGGAAGGGCCACGTGAGGACACGGCGAGACAGCTCCACTAGGAAGAGGAGAGGGGCCCGAGCAGAAGCCAGCCCTGATGATGGCACCTTCCTCTTGGACTTCCAGCCTCCAGAACAGAGAGAAAAGTCATTTCTGTCATTTAAGCCACCTGGTCTGTGGGGTTTTGTTACGGCAGTCCATGCAGACCAAGACATTCAGCCTTGGCCAGGACTGTTTGGCGCTCGTCCCATATGGGGTCCTGGCTCTGCCGATGGTGTCCATCAGCTCAGGCAAACAGGCCAACCTCCTCTGGCCCCTCTTAGCCATGCTGGTCCTCTCAAGGGAAGAGGCTCAATTTGGTCCTAGTGGCTCTGGGGTCCAGCTCCTCCTCCATTCCGTACCTGGCCACTGTCCGGAGCCTCACTCAATCCCAGCACCTGCTGCAGGGCCTTGGCCACGACCTGCTTCCTCCTGTCCAGAAACTCCTGCTCCCCGTCACAGAGGTCAAAGCCAAGGCGTAGGTCTAGGTCTCCGGAGCTGTCTCAAGTGGGGCGGGGCGGGGGGATTTTGGGTGACTGTCCAGTGGAGGAGAGCCCTGGGCCCAGCCCGGGTCTTTCACAGGAGCAGGTCCAAGGGATCCGCCCACCAGCACCAGCACCGGGGAGGGAAAGGTGTCACCCCCACCCCACAGCCTGAGCTTCTTGGGCAAGAGAGTGGAGCATGTTGGGATGTGTCCCCACACTTCTAGCCCAGCCCCAAGAGGCCTTCTGCCTGGAGTCCCACTCACCTCATTTCCACCTTCACACTCAGAGCCACCTCCTGGCCCTGAAAGACAGAGCAGCCCCAGCCCTGAGCTCTCTGAGCAGGATTCTCCAGGGAAGTGGCTCCCCCACCTGCAGCCCCTATGGCCCTGCCATCACTGGCCCGATGTGGACATCATAACTGAGCTCTGGGCTGACCTGATCCAGCCACCCTCTTGGGTCCCTCCTCCAGACCTCTCTTGGTGGTCACAGAGAGCAGGAAGCGGTCCCTCTGGCACCCAGACAGAGCCTTACCTCCCCCAGGGCCACAGAACACTGTTTCTCCTGGCCTAGGGGCAGAGAGGAGAGCAGGATGCCCCCCTCGCCCAGCTTGCTGGTCTGAGCCTCCAGCTCCGCGCTGGGGTCGCTCTGTGGAGAAGAAAACACCCAAGAAGCTCTCCAGCGGGGAAGAAAAGGCTCCCCCAACGTGGCCCTGGAACGCCAGTCTGGGCTGAGTTGGATCTACAGACCGTCCTGGCGGCACACTCACCTGCACAGCCGAGAGCTGCTCCATCAGCTCCACGTGTAGCCTGGAGCTCAGCACTGGGTTCACATGGAAGGTAAAGGTGGGTTGGAGGCCTGGCTCTGTGGGAGGCTGCAGGGGCAAGAGCTGTGGCTTCTCGTAGGCCCCAGGCACTGTCAGCTGGAGCTGCCGAGAGCCTGAGAGCAGAAGGCCCAGGTGGGTGCGCAGGTGAGGGGGTGGGTCTGTGTCTGTGCGGCTTATGCTGGCAGCACCCCACCAGCAACTCCTCCCTTCTCTTCCCCTAGGAAATGCCAACTCCTATCGCCCTGCTCTCTCTCGAGCACTGCTCATAGAGAAAGCCTCCAGAAGGACTCGGGTCCTCTAGCCTGCCCTGGTCAGAACTGGAACTCAGGGAAGGGTGGGAAGCACAAAAATGCCTGGAGGGGAAGACAGGGAACGGGGAGGGAGAGGGGCCCTGCCCAGAGCCTGTGGGGCTGATGATTTGAGCTGATTCTATGTTTATTATAAGAATGAGCAGGCCAGGCACGGTGGCTCACGCCTGTAATCCCAGCACTTTGGGAGGCCGAGGCAGGCGGATCATGAGGTCAAGAGATCGAGACCATCCTGGCTAACACGGTGAAACTCCGTCTCTACTAAAAATACAAAAAATTAGCCGGGTGTGGTGGCGGGCACCTGTAGTCCCAGCTACTCAGGAGGCTGAGGCAGGAGAATGGCGTAAACCCGGGAGGCGGAGCTTGCAGTGAGCCGAGATTGTGTCACTGCACTCCAGCCTGGGCGGCAGAGCGAGACTCCATCTCAAAAAAAAAAAGAATGAGCAGTTTTCAGGTGGTGGTTTCCCCCTTGCCCCACTTCAGGCTCTTTGCTCATTGTGTTGGAGGTTTGTGGCCCGAGAGAAAACCAATAGGCTGCAAGTTGTTCTGGCCTTTGTTTCCAAGTGTAGAACGCTGGGAGAGGAAGGTTTGTAGAGGCAGGAGGAGGAAGAATGGGATGCGTGGATACAGAGAGATGCACGTCCTGGAGAAGAGGCAGAGGGCAAGCCCAGACTGGAAGGTGAGGCCCAGGCTGGAAGATGAGGCCCAGGCTGGAAGGTGAGGCCCAGGCTGGAAGGTGAGGCCCAGGCTGGAAGATGAGGCCCAGGCTGGAAGATGAGGCCCAGGCTGGAAGGTGAGGCCCAGGCTGGAAGATGAGGCCCAGGCTGGAAGGTGAGGCCCAGGCTGGAAGGTGAGGCCCAGGCTGGAAGGTGAGGCCCAGGCTGGGAGGAGTGAGGGGGCAGGCTTGTGGGCTTCAGAGCTCCCTGCCCAGCTTCCCAGCAGCTTTCTGGGGAGGAGGCCAGACCCCAGAAAGAAATGACTGCACATGACATCCAGGCAGAGGGGGCCACAGACAGCCTCCCAGCCCCTAACACAACGTGGAAGAACCAGAGACATAAAGTATACGAGGACAGCAGACACTGAGGGATCAGAGGAGTCCCTGTCCTGCAGCCCCTCCTTGCACTTGATGAGGCTCAGAGACTCGACATGACCAAGTGTGGGAAGGGAATTCAAGAATGTAAGGAAAGTGATATTTTATTCATGCCAAGGCCTATGGACTGAGATGGAGACGTGCTATTCGTAAGAAGAAGCCATATAATCCGTGATTGAGAGAACCGGAGTGTCACCGACCTGGGTTTGACCCTGGCTCTACTACTTACTGGCTGTGTGCCCGTGAGCAAATGTCTTCTTTGGGCCTCAGCCTCATGAATTAGGATATTCTAATTGTGCCTGCTTTACAAGGTTGTTAGGAGGATTATAAGACACATTAAAATGCTTAGCCCAGGGCCTGCCTCAGAGTGAGCGCTCAGGGTTCCCTGGGCAGGACTCATCCTGCAGGCTCAGGCTGTCAGCACTGTCACACAGCCACCACTGCTGTCCCATATCTGGACTCCCCTGGCTGGGTGGCTGCCCTCTGTGGCACTGGGTTTGACAAGCCCCGTTCTTCATTTCCCCTGTATTCTCACTGCCATGTGATTTCAGCTCCTCCCACTAAAGAGGTCAATTATGTTCCCCACCCTCCAGCTTTGAGTTCAACCCTGTTTGGGCCAATAACATGTTAGGTAGCAGCCAGGATGTGACCAGGCTTAACAAGCGTTTGTTCAGTTGGGCTTGCTCTCTTGTGCCTCTGCTGATGCCTTGAGAACATGCCCAGGCTAATGGGCTTGTCACAGGAGGCAGAGGAGAGACACATAGCACAGGGCTGGGTCACCCCCTGCCAAGCCCAGCCCAGCCCAGCCCGGCCGGCTGACCACCGGGTGTGTGAGCTGAATAAACGCTGCTTGTATGCCACTGAGATCATGTGGGTGTTTGTTGTAGAGCAATAGTTGGGCGGATACAACCTCTTTGCTCGAATACTTCCAGGGACAGGTCGTTCACTGCCTGCTGGGGCCATCCATCCCATGTTAGTTAGTCGGCTTTGAGCAATGAAAACTTGAAGAGCTTCCTGACCCAGACTCACCTCCTTGACATCAGTAGTCCCAACCCCAGGAGAGAAGGCAAAAGAACCAAGGCCGCTGAGCCAGACTCACCGTACTCTTCCCGTGGGGCGGTCCCATCTCCCCGGAGTGTGCCCTGGATTCTCAGACAGGGGTGAGCCTGAGGAAAGCAGAGGCCTGTGGGAGACAGACAGCCCACGGCCCCAGCCAGGATGGAGGGAGGGAGGAGTGCCTGGGGCAGGGTCTGGGAAACAGACCTCCCAGGACCTGGGCCTCATGGGTAGGAGTCTTTTGCAGCAGCCCAAGGTTATCCCCAGCCCCTCTCCCCAGACTCAGAGGAAGTGGGCGCTGGTGGGAAAGGGGGAGGAGTTGAGGGGCCATGAGAGTGGCTGCTCCAGTGATCTTAGCAGCCAGAGGCCCAAGTGAGTGACATGCTGTGTGGAAGTAGGAGGCTGGGGTCCTGGGCTGTCCACCAAGTGCCTGGCAGCTTCTTGTCCTTCCCCTAAGGAGGTGCCTCCCTAGCATGCCTCCCCTCTGAGGAGGGATTGGGTGTCCTTCAGAGACAAGTGGGCCTGATGGGCCCCATCACAGGCTCCTCACTGCCCCCCGCCCGGAATGCCGCCAAGCTCGCCTTCCCCACTCACCACCAGAACCCCGTTGGTGATGATTTCAGATGCAGGCACCTGGCTGCAAAGGATGAGGAATACAGGGGGAATGCATCTGGCCCCATCATGATGCCTCTACAATCATAATGTGAGTGAAGCAGCGGGCAGAGCCTGGGGAGCACAGCAGGGTTTGGGCTGGGGCGAGCCTGCCGTCCAACATGCAGATGGGTGTCAAGACCAGGCCATCGCCTCCAGACCAGGCCTGCAAGGCCAGTGCAAGACATGGTGACTGGCACCTAGGAGCTGCCGTGACTCAAATCTCTGAGTCTCCGAGGGCGTTGGCTCTGCCAGAACTCACCTCTTCTCCAGAACAAATTCCACCTGCAGCTCTTGTGAATCCTAAATGGAGGGGGAGGGAGCACCAGTTTTTTCAAGGCTCCAAAAGCCTCCAGAGCTGTTCCTGCCTGCCAGCCCTGCTCAGCTCCAGGAACTAGAAGGGGAGACTGGCATTGTGGCTTGTCATGGACATAGGAGGGGCAGTGGTATCTCCATGGAGAGCCTCATTTATTCCAAAATGTGTGTCAGGCACTGTTCTAGACATTGAGAATCCAGCTGTGACTGAGGCAACACACAGCCCTCAAGGAGCTCATATTTTGGTTTCATGCAAGGAAGATGTATTGGAGGGAAACCTTTACAGGGTCAGGGCTGTGGGATGGAGGAAGGTCTGCCTTGGAGGCTTGGCCTGTGCTGACCAGAGCCCCCCTCTTCGGTGGCCCTGTGCTGGGCCTCCCCTCCTCCAGCTGGGCTCTCCGCCAGCACTGGTGGGCTCACCTGGCGGTTGAGTGGGAAGCTGTGTCTGTGAGGTTGGCCGCACTCGAGGCTCCTCAGGTCAAACAGGAGCTGGGAATACTGGTCGCTGACCAGGATGTCCTTGTCATACAGAGTGAGCTCCAGAACATTCTGGGGACAGGGCAGGCAGGAGGTCGGAGCCTGAGGTAGGACAGGAGGGCAGCTGCCTGAAGATTACCCTTCCTTCCGCAGCCTGGCCCCTGGCTGGCCCTCACCTTCACAGCATCATGGATCTGGTAGTGGAAAGTCTCATTCCACTCGGGGTCACTGCAGTTGGCCACTGTCCTAGTCTGGGCAGGGCTGGGGGACGCCGTGGGCAGCCACAGTTGCACGTAGCAGTCAGCTTTGGACACTGCAGGTAGGACAGGGGAGGGGCCGGGGCCTCAAGCTCTCATTGCTGAAAAGGTTTCCTGGGGGAGGCTAGGGCGGAAGGGGAAGGAGCAGAGCGGCGAGGAGGGGAAGCTGCCCATGTGGCATGGTGGGGTGAGGAGGTGGAGGGAGAGCTTTGATGTCTTTCACTCCACCTTGATTCCACACACCTCCCGTTCACCTGAACAGAAATCCTGCAGCAGCCAGTTGGAAAGATCCCATGGTAGCACAGACCATTAACTCCAGCTACTGCATGATTCAGGCAGTAAAATCCCCTCCCCTGTGTGGGCGCTGGCATGGAAAGCTCCCTGAGAGCACGTGCTGACTTGTAGCCACAGCGGGCCTCAGCTCTCACCCAGGGCGGCACTCCCAGGCACAGGGAGGAGGCCGAGTCTGCACAGCTGTCCCCTCCAGCCCTGCCTGCCCTCACCTCCCCGGTCAGCACCAGTCCCTCCACCTACTCCACACACACACGCTCACACACACACTCTTGCACTCACACACGCACACATGTGTGTACGTACTCTCACATTGGCACTCACATACACATGCACTCAGTCCCACTGGCACTCACTGTCATGTATGCACACACATATACAACATGCACACACATGTATACACACACGCACTCACTTTCACACACACACACTTGCACTTACACACTCGCACACACATGCACACATGTATACACATACTTGTGCTCCCACACTCACACTCACACGTTTACATTACACACATACACTCACACACGTATACACATGTACTCACACTTGCACTCACACATACTTGCACACACACATACACACATGTATACTCACGTATACACATACACACACGTATACACACACTTGCACACATGTATACACACATACACTCTCGCTTGTACTCACCCATGTATATACTCTCTTACACACACACACACACTGTCTCTCTCTCTCTGTCTTTGCCAGGCTGAGCTGAACTCTGAGGAGGCCTCAGGGAAAGGACAGGGAGAAGGGTGGAGATGGGGTCACTCACGCAGGTCTGTATTCCGGATGTTTGTGGCCCTCAGCACCTTCACCTGGAGGTCATAGTATGGGTGGGTTTCCCGCTGCAACAACAGAACTCCAGGGACTCAGTTAGCTAGTGTGAGCCTGGTCCCTCCCCACATTGTTCCCCTCGTCCCATCACGGAGCAGCAACCTGGCTTAGGGTCACTGATGTCTCTGTGCGGGGGAGCAGGGAGACCTTGGCGGGGCCCGGGCATTGGGAATTCAACACCTTCGTGATGCGTCTGGATCCTGGAACCCAACCGGTCTGGGTTCAAATCTGAATCCAGCACGGACTCGCTGAACTATCGATGGCTGTTGTGCACCACACACCTGCGGCCCCCCTCAGACCCTCGCGCCCCCACCCTAGCTTGGGAGCGGCTGTGAGAGCTGCGCTAATGTTGTGCTTGAGGCGATTAAATATTAAAAGAGAAAACGGCGACACCCCTCCCTCGCTTGCTCCCTGACAGAGGCTCAAAGACAGCCTAGGAGGCAGCGAGCAGGTGAGGGGAAGCCGAGAGTCACGGCTGGTACCGGTCTGATGAGTCACCGAGCAGATTACAGCTGGGCTCAGGAGAGAGAGCATCAGCATGCCGCCTGCTGGCAGGGAACCTCTCCCCTCACAACCCCACCAGCGCCGGAGACTCTACAGCCAGGCTCGCGCATCCTTCGCAAAAGCCAACCCACCCCAGACAAGTGTCAGGTGAACTAACCCTCCATTTCCTAATCGGAGGGAGCTATTTTCAAGGTTTAATTTAAGCTCTGCCAGGTCATCTAGAATAAACAGGTCCCACCCCAACTCAAAACCCAGGGCTGGGGCTGGTGTCAGTCCTCACAGGGCACTGTAGCTCCCAGGACTCCCCCAGTCCGGGTTTCCCAGGTAATCTCAGGTACGTTACCCGCCAGTGCCTCCGCAGAGGGCCCCTGTTCTCTCTCTTCTGAAGCAGCACTGCCCCCAGGAAGGGCAGCATCTTGCCTGCCAGCCACCTTGGCCAGAGTGCCCAGAGCATGGCTGGGCAGCCCAGGCCCCAGCAGGGAGCCCTGCCAGAGCTCCTCTGGCTGCACAAACTGCTGGCTCAGGTGTGACAGGTAGCACTGAGTTGGGAGGGTGGAGCTGCCTGCCCTGCAGAGGACCCAGGCTGGATGGCCTGCTGGAGGTGGAGTTTGACATGTTCCAGGAAGTGACTAGAGCTTAATTTTCCCAGGCAGGAGCCAGCTCAGTCTGTCTCCATGAGACTCTTGGAGTCTCTGGTTAGCACTCTTGTTCCCAAACCCAGCCCCCTGGTTATCACTGGGCTGTTTGTGAAAAACAGACCCCTCTAGGTGATGCTGGCACAGCTGGCCCAGAGACCAGCTGGCAAGTGCAAATCAGTGACTAGTCTCCTTCAGCTGTGGAAAAGGCCTGACACTAGCCACACTTCAAGTCCCTCCTTCCCTGCGGCTCTTGAGTTGAAGCATTTCATCTGGGCTCAAAGATGTTTCTTTATATATATATACATATATATGTATATGTGTGTGTGTATGTATGTTTTTTAAAAAATTATACTTTAAGTTCTAGGGTACATGTGCACAACGTGCAGGTTTGTTACATAGGTATAGATGTGCCATGTTGGTGTGCTGCACCCATTAACTCGTCATTTACATTAGGTATATCTCCTAATGCTATCCCTCTCCGCCTGCCACCCCACAACAGGCCCCAGTGTGTGATGTTCCCCTTCCTGTGTCCAAGTGTTCTCATTGTTCAGTTCCCACCTATGAGGGAGAACATGTGGTGTTTGGTTTTCTGTCCTTGCAGTAGTTTGCTCAGAATGATGGTTTCCAGCTTCATCCGTGTCCCTACAAAGGACATGAACTCATCAAAGATATTTCTAATCTCTCCTGACCACCCTCATTAATTCTCCAAACACCAAGAGCCTGGTGGGTGCCAGACCTGTGCTAGGCCTAGAAATGCAAAGGTGACAAAGGTGAGGTGGGCCCATCCACATCCTGGAGAAATGCAGTCCATGACTCCCTGTGGCTTCGGCCCAGGCTCGCTTCCTGGGTCAGTGTACGGTGTCTAGGTACAGACAGGCATATGGGCAGGGGTTATAAATAAGGACAGGCCAAACAACAAGTCTGCCTGTCCTTCAGCCACTAGAGATACAGGCTTTAGCGTTCTCTTTGGCCACCGTAGGCCTTAGGCTGCAGATGGATGTGACGTCTGCTCTTCTGTGGACCACAACCATCAGAGTGGCTGAGACAGGCACAGTCTCCAGGAAGAGTGAGGATCTCTGGGGCTGTGAACTGTGGGAGGGACAAAATTTCTGTCCCTCAACTAAGATTCAGTCATCTCCTCTTCCCAAGGCCTAGAGTCGCAGGCTGAAAAATACATCCAAAAAAGATGTGATTCAACTCCAAAATGAACCAAATGGGCAAGTTCAGACCAGAAACTTCCCCCAAAAAGGAAGGTGTGACTGCCAGTGACCAGACCCCAAAGAAGGGCCTGTTTCTGCTTTATTTGGATTGTGAAGCAAAGACCTGGCCTGGGCTCTAAGAAATGAGAGTCCGGCACCTTGGTGATCGCTGTGAATGTGTGCAGGGGACCCGTGGATCCACACAAGAGGAGAGGGCACAGAGCTAGCTGGGGGTGGAACCAGGCTGGGGCCCTAGCTCCCGACTGATGTGAGTCTTTCTGGCTGTATCACCCTCTTCTGGAAGTCATCGGCCCACCACACGATAAAGTCATTGCCCCTAGTGCCAGATGTGACAGAGACAACAAGGGCTACATTTCTCTCTGGAGTTGGCCAAAGTGAACCAACACTTCTCCACTTCCCAAACGCCCCTGTGTCCCTCCATCCCAATTCCTTCATCATGGGCTGCAGGAAGAGGCACCAGCTGCTACCACATGAAGGGGGAAAACACTTGGATCTTCCAGACCGCCAGTGTGTCCAGTAGAATTCTGTAATGATGGACATGTTCCGGATCTTCCAGAGCGCCAGTGTGTCCGGTAGAATTCTGTAATGATGGACATGTTCCGGATCTTCTAGAGCGCCAGTGTGTCCGGTAGAATTCTGTAATGATGGACATGTTCCGGATCTGTGCTGACGACTTATCAGCCATGACCACACTGGCTGTACCAAGCGGCATGGGGCAACATTTGTAATGCAACTATTATATTCATTTTTTCTTGGTCACTAATTGGCTTATTCTTCTAAGTTCTTTGCTAAATTACTACCTTTTGTTATTTTCATCAAACTCCACGGGAGGGGGAAATAAAGAGACCCAGACAGGCTTGGTTTCTTGCTTTATTAGGTTTATTATGAGGAGCAGTGATGAGACCTTTATCAGTCTTCACTACAAAGCTTTCATCTCCAGCCTTCCCCATAGCTCTGTGGAGAGCAGAGTTGAGGGAAGGAGAATGGAGTTTGGCAGATGGGGTCATGTATGTATACCAGGAAAGAAAACACACGTTCTTTTTTCTATTGCTTCAAACAGTTCGTGATAATGGAAGATAACAAGCACAGCTAGCCAGGAAGGCAGGGCACACATGGCAGGGCAAGTTCCTGCTATCCAGGGAGGCAGCCCAGGCTTTCCTGCTGCTCCTGGAGGAAGCAGAGTCCAAGCTGGCCCGGATGAGGCCACAGGCAGCACTGCTTCTGTGTGGGTATGGCCAGCTGGGAGGTGGCGCCACACACTGCTCCACTGCTCCTCCGAACTCTGGTGAAGGCCTGTCCAGCCTCACAGGCCTGAGCAGAGTCTCCCACGTCTGTGAATGGGGCCAACGGCACTCACTGTCTTTTCAGGCCCCCACGGACGGCATGCCTGGGGGAGCCTAGTCTACTTACCATCAGCACGTTGATCTGTCACACAGCATGAAACCATGGTTTCCAAAGGACCACGGTATGTCAAGGACAGGCCACTAAAACTGTCAGTGTTGGGCACCATCACCCACCCCAATACCATCGAAGACACTGGTGCAGTGAGACTTCGAGTCTGCAAAAACCCCAGGGAGGACAGGAGGCTGGGCCACTCTCCCTGTGTGTCCTCAGCCTGCAGTGCCTGAAACTCCAGCCTGTGCACCTGTGGCAGGATCCCCCCCCACTGCTCCACAGGTGTGGCCGTGAGCTATTTTTAAACCGGCGTGCTGCTGTTCTTGCCCCCCACGTCCTCTCTGCTGTGCCTGAACACCTCTCAGGAACACTTGGCAGCATGCCATTGTCAGTTCCAGGTCCGCTCATCCCCTGCGTCTTGCCGGGACCCACCTTCCTGCGCTATCGCAGCACAACCCTCCAACCACACCACTGCCGAACAAAGCTGGGGAGCCAGGGCAGGCTGTAAGGCAAGTGAATGCAAACTGGCTGGAAAAAGAGAAAGGGCCCAGAGCACAACATCGCCACTCACAACGACTAAGCCAGCTCGCCTGAGTGTCTGGTGAGCGAAAATGGAGCGGGGACCTCTGTGGGAACATGTGTCTAGGGATCACGCATACCCCAGACAGGGCAGGCTCATCCGCAGGAGCTGTGGTCACACTCGGCCCGGCCTGAGGCGAGGGATGCAGGGCCTGGCCTAGGCAGAGAGTGGTGCTCTCCGAGGCATCTAGGCATGGAGTGTGTGGCCAAAGAGGGTCTATTTACAACATACCCGACAATCAACTAGCACTGTAATCCTAGGAACTGAGACTTCCCCTTGCTTCTCATCTTACCTTGCATAAATATTAGTTATTCCCAGAGTCAGGGAAGTGGGAGAGAAAGCCTGGGTAGGGCAGTGAGGGAAGGGATAAATGGTGAGAAAGAAAAGGAGACTGAAAACTAATAGGGCGGCTACTGAGGACTGCAGGGCATGGCTACCATGGGGACGTAAAACGCTACGCAGAACGTGAGCCATCGGGTCCATGTGGCCAGAAGCTTGAGCGCTGTTCTCTCATGGAACTCTCCACTGAGCCATGCTGAGGGGTCCTTGTGAAGTCGTATACTTATCTTAATAGAAAAGCCCTTGATGAACAACCCCATGGTTACAAACACTTGTGACAACTTTCCTTGTTCAGGTGACTGGTATGCAAAGGCAAGATGGTGCACCTCCTCCTGACCAAGCAGGTACTGAATTCTCTGGAATTGCCCACAGTATAATGGTATAAGGTATAACTAATCTCTTTTCCCATTAAAAAGCTGGCAATGCCAGACCATGAGTCTAATTAATTCGGAGTTGTTCCAGGGCACAAGATAGCCAGTAGTGTCCAAATAGGGAGCCTTGTGGTGGTGGCAGCCAGGATTCCTAAGGCCAGGTGCTCCTTCACCTCTCTGGGAGAGCCAAGCTGTCCATCTGCTGGATCCCCAAGATGCTGGGCTCAAGTGTCAGCTGGGTTTACCTCTTTGGAACAGAAGTAGTGCACGACCACTCCATTGGGGTATCTTGCAAATGCACTGCAGGGAAGAAAATGGCTTGGGAGTGAGGACTGCCTCTAAGTGACCACTTCTCTGGCAGCGGCACCTCCTACAGAAGAGGCACATTGCTGGGGGCCCATCCCAGAAGCAGCCCACCCAAACATCAAAGAACAGTTTGCCTTGAGGGGCTCTGGATTTCTGTAGCCATCATCTCTGTCAAATAACCAGAGGATGAGGTGCACACAGTTAAGAGTGCATGGGGTATTTTTTTACTATGCAAAACACATGGCGTAATAAAGATGGGCAGTGCAATAGCCCAAAACTCAGCACTGGCTTCCTCAGAGCCGACAAATGTCCATCAGAACAGATTTCAGGCTAATTCTAAAAAGGACAGCGAGTTTGTCTTTCTAAAGAAAAATATTTTTCCAGCTACATAAGAAAAGGGACAAGTCCCTCTCCTCTGAAGAAAGGGGCTAACTGGAGGATGTGTCTCAACACAGCACGAGGCTGGCTCACCGTCCTACTCCAGTCACACTGCAGTAACTCGAAAGATCTTTTTCTTCCTTCACTAGATCTTCCTTAAAATATAACAACTTTCTGCTGACCTGTATCTCTCTGGCACCCACTATATCAGTTTCTAGCTTCGAGAGAGGAAGAGTTTTATGGACAAGAATCCAACAGCTCCATACCATATATTGCGGGTCTTCAAATTCTCAAAGCCCACTCCCAACAGAGAGAACAG